ACTGGCAGGGGTTGCCCAGAGAGGTGGGAGATGCCCCATCCCTGGAAACATTCAAGGCCAGGCTGGACGGGGCTGTGAGCAACCTGATCTGGTTGGAGATGTCCCTGCCCGCTGCAGGGGGATGGACTGGGTGGCCTTGAAAGGTCCCTTCCAGCCCAAAGCATTCTGTGGTTCTATGATTCTCTGTCCCATGGGTATGCCAGGAGGAGACCTGTACCTCCATTGTCCCCTTGCTGCCTTCTGTTCTCCTGACACATGATCTCAGCTAGACCCCGGGAGGAGAGCTAGGGACCAGCTAACCCATTTCATCGACCAGGGGATCCCTTCCCATGGACCAGAGCCCCCCTGGCCATACTGGGATCCCTGGAGTCCAGGTGGGGACAGGATTTAGCCTGTGCTAAACAAAAATCCTTTCCCATAGGTGTTTTGTTCTGTGTTTTTAAGGGGCTTTAAGAGCCTGAAGGATTGCAGGACAGGCTCCGATTCTCGTTTCCTTCTTCCAGAAAAGACTCACTGGTATTGTATTTACCTGGAGCAGCAGATGATCAGTCCTTGTGCTTTGTCCCAGCTCGCCTCGTGGCCAGCATGATCAATGAAAGAAAACAGTCAGGACTGATCAAAAACACCATCTGCTGACAACGAAGTGACTTCTTTAGGACAGACATTGCTCATGCAGTGCCTAATTCTAATTACCAGCTTCTTGGGAAAATGTGATTTTATTAATTATCATCAATGCACAATGTTTGCCAATACTGTTCCTTGGGAACAGGGAACAGTTTATGACAAGTGTGGAGGAAGACCAATTGCTGATGAAATATGTTGGGCAGGCAGCAGCCAGTGCGCTCGCAGGCAGGGGGGTGCGCAGAAGTGCCGTGGCCGCCTGGCTGCGTGGGACGGGACCTTTCAGATAAGCGCTAGATCCAGACGCTTGTTCCAGGAGACAATAGGAGGGAGGGCAGAATTTGTGCTGATGTTCTCCAGCACTTTCCCGGAGCACGCTGTGCTGTTGGACACCCTCTGCCAGCACCGTGAAGGGTTCTCCGGGCCCACAGTCTTCCTTGCAGCGCTGCTGCTCTCTGGAAGCAGAAACACAGATGCCCACCGTGGTGGTGGTGTCCGGCGCTCTGCCCTGCTGTGCTGGATGGTGATGGGGAGCCACTGGGCAGCTCCAGGGAGTGGGGACACCCTGCTGCAGGAGGAACCTGCCCCACGCTGGGCTCATGGGACCTGCTCCAGTGTGGAAGGTGCTGGGGACAGCCGGACTCAGAGAGCTGTGGGACATGTGCATTGGGAATGGGGTCTTCAGCCAAACTCAAGGGATGCCACCAGCTCACACCTGGTGGTCTACATGGAGACATGTATCTCTGCACACTGGGCCAGCCTGCTGATAGGAGCTTTCTTCCAGGCTTTTTAAGTAAGTCCCTGAATTTAAGTTTTTGAATTAGCATGCCCTGAGCTGGCCTTGAGGAGCAGATTTGCACTGCCTTGCTCTGTGCGGGACCTCCTGTCCTGCAATCCCATGCCTTCTCCCTGCCCAAACCGTGGTGGGACGCTGAGCAGGGCAGCGCTCCTCCCTGCTGTGGTTTATGATCTTTGGGCAAGCGAGGAATTTGCCTCACTTAGTTGCCCTACCAGGCATAATTAAAGGGGAAAATCTCTGCTTTGCTGCAGAGGACTGCTCAGCGAGATGAAGTGCTCTCGCCAGCCTGGTGGGATCTCCCTGTGCAAGGCCGGGCAGCTGGCAGACCTACTATTTTTAGGGTCCCTGGAGAAGTCTTGTGCTTTGGTATTTTGCAGAGACATTTTAGCTCTGGCTTTCCTCCTCCTGCCTAGCAGGGGGAGAACAGCCCTCCATTTTGTTTGAATACTGGAAAGTGCAGAGATCAGACCCAAGCATACATCAATTTTGTATTGAAATCCTCGCTTACCAGCCTGGGGGTGATGGGTGCTGCCCTCGACAGCACCAAGTCTCGGCCGGTGGCCAGGCACCGAGTGCTTTGCAGTAATGAAACGGGGCTTTGCTGCCAGTCCAGGCTAAATCGCGGGCTAGAGTCTGGAGCTGCTCAGTGCCAGATGCTCCTCGATTCGCAGTCCCTTTGCCAAACAATCCCTTTTCCTTCTCTAAACAGTGAGAAATAATCTGTGTCCTTCTACTCCGACCAGGTATTGAGCAGAGTATTGAACAAGAGGAGGGACTGAACAGATCATCTGCTGACCTGCGGATAAGGAAAACTCAGGTGAGTCTCTGCCCTCTGGCACCGGGAAGGGGTGGAGGCAGTTGAAGGATCCCAGGAGGTGATGGGAGAGAACGGCTGTGCTTGGCTTTAGAGCAATCAAGTTCTGGTGTGCAAATTCTGGGCAAAGGAATGCAGCACATTTCCAGATAGATCAGTGAAAAAGCCAGCCTGAAAGACCCGGGAGAGAGGGAGCTGGGGAGGGGAGGGCAGCGTGCGTCAGCTTCGTCCTTGTGTGCAAGTCTGAGCGTCTGCATGGAGGAACAGGCGGGTGGGTTTCTGCTCATCCATATTAAGCATCTCACTAAAGGTGATTTTAACTGGAGCAAAAATACCCTCTGAAGTGCCGGCTTTGGGGGGAGAACGTTCGCCTGCAATACGTTCAGAAACCTCTGTGTGTTTCTGCAGTGCCTGGAAGGATGCTTGAGCAGCTCGTAAATGAGACCAAGGCTTACTGATAGAGCTGGGTAACTCACCTAAAATTTCACTTAATCTAAGAAGATGGGTGGTCTTTTAGAGAGTACTGTGCAGGCCTGCAGCCTGCTGGAAACGTCCTTCCCTGTTGGGGCAGTGGTTGCCCCTCCACCGGGCATCGTCATGACTTCGCAGTCCAGGAAATGTTGGACTTTTGAAGGGCTGACACAACTCTTCCTCTTGTTCCCATGAAACCACCAATAACTAGCACCTTCTTTCGATCGGCTTCTTAGCAGGGTTATCCAGGGGTAGAGGTGGAGATGGGGTGCACCTCCCTCTCCTCCTCCCGGGTGGTCCCAAGGCTGTGTTATGCTCAGTTGTGATGAACGGTTGTGCTGCTCGTGCTTCTGTCTGCAGCCAAGGTGTGTTGGCTCTACAGGAGATGCTGGTCGAGGGACATGGGGCTTGTCCATGGGTCCAACAGCATGCACTAGAAACTGGAAGTCACCGACCCTACTTTGAGCCGGAGGCTGGGCTGCATGACCTCCTGAAGTCCCTTCCAGACTGAATTATCCGACAGTTCTGACTAACTCCCCTCCCACCCCCGCAACGTGAAGAAATAGCTTAGAAATATTTGATGAAAGAAGTGTTGGAGTGTTTTGTAGAGAGGTTTTTGTCTCTCAGGAGCAGCTGATTGCAGTGAGAAGGTCTGATTGCTGCAGACGTCCCTGCTCGGGTCCTGGCCTGAGGCAGCTGGAAAGCGAGGATGGGTCACAAACATCTCTCTGATGTCCGTGGTGGGTGCTGGTGGGAAGACTTTGAGAACACCAACAGAGAGAGTGCAGTCAACGGCGTCATGGCAAGGCCAACGACTTGGCAGAAAGTGCCAGAAGAAAGTTTCCTTGGGGAAGCAGCAGGTGGGCACGACCCGGGAAGGCAGTGCAAAGCGCTGGGGGGTGCTGAGGGAGAGGATGTTGGGGGCGAGCTGGGGACGGGGGAGATGACCGAGCTTCGTACACCCCTCATCCAGCCTGGGGAATCTTCACAGGTCTCAGGTTAACTCAGAAGCATTTGGCTCCTGATGACCTGAGGTCTCAATAAGACAAGGTTACCCATGGTCTCCAGCTGCTTTTGAAACCAGGGCTTGAATTCCTAAATAATGTGTACTTTGTGAAAATAGGACATGCTTTTACTGATTTTCTGAAGTCAGAGATATTCAATTGTCTTGGACATCCCAGGATTGCAGAATGTGCTGGGATGGAGTCAGGAGAGACCAAGGCTGTGGCTCTAGTGTCCTCTTGGATCAGCCAGCAGTGCAAATTTAGCTGGATCAGGCATAGGCACGCCGTGGCACCTTGGCCCCAGCACGCGTGCAAGGCTTTGTGCTGACCAGAGCGGCCATACTCTGCTTGCACCACACACGGGTGGGTAGTGGCAGCTGACACTGCACCCACAAACGTGTGGTTAACTCCAGGTTTTAGAGGAAAGTGGATCCAAAAGAGTGAATTTGTGCTGGGCTGGCATCTTGTGTTGTGTGACCACGGCATTTTTTTTATTGAGTCCATTCGTTGTCGGCTATGGGCTGAGCGGTAAAAACTGAACTAGTTTAGCTTGATGAAATGCACTAGACAGAGGAGATTACTCGTCTCCAGAAAAAGTGTACAAAGCAAACAAGTGTTTGATTTCGAGATGGTATAACTTGGCCATACTACTCAGTAATGGGCTGAAAATGTGGGCTGATTCCCGTGGGGAAGTGATTGTGACAGAACATGATGTTTTACGGCTTCGGATCCTCCATCTGCCAGAAGGAAAGTCAGAGGCTTGATTGCTTGAACTGTTTGACAAGAGCTTCCCCCATCATCTGCCTATCACCCTCGATGGAGCAGCTCCCTCCAAGGCTTTTCTAGAGAGGTGTTGTGTCTGCTCGGTGTTGGCTTTGTGGTGTTGCCCCAGGCCATGGGTGCGGTAGGGAAGCACGTCCATGGGGGCCTTCTCAAGTGTGGGGTGTGACCCAGCTTCTCCCTTCTGCTTGCGCTGGGGTTCTGCTGCCTCTGGGGACACCAGGGTGATGCTCCAGCAGACCCGTGTTGAGGATGGGTGAGCCTGTCCCTGCTGTACAAGGGTGATCAGGTCCCGATGGCAGGATCAGGCCCATCCACTGACAGTTGTGTGCCTAAGCCATGGCCGACTCCTGGCTGCTGCTGCACTCTGCCATGGGATCTGGCTTTAGCACTGCCCCCTCTACAGCTACCTGGACTCTAAAGCTACTGGCTCGCGTACGGGGTGAAAGAGTCACTTCTCTCCTGCAAACCACTGCACGTCAGGCTGTCATGGGGGGTCTCGCTGTGGGCGGATCACGCTCAGGTGACCCAGGTGCCTGCTCAGCCCGCAGGTCCCCTCGTCTCCCACTACCCGCGTGTGGTTCATGGTTCTCTGGAGTGTTCTCTGTGCTCTGCAGTGTTCATTTACTTGGTCCTTGCTACAGAGGTCTTGTTGAAATGTTCATGCCTTGGGAAATGGCACAAGCACTTCTTTGTCCTCTCACTCTGTCCTGCAGAAGCGGTGAGTCTGGGGACCGTTGCTCATGAGCAGGCAGCATCCCGTGTGTCTCCTGTAGGGAGAAGTAAGAAAGAGTTAGAGAAATTGAATGGAACTGTACACATGGAAGCAGCAGAGGGAATGGCAGAAGAAGGGATACAAGACTGGTGTGGGTTGATGGCACCTAACCGAAAAGGTCATTGAGATGCCAGCATGGATACTTGCAGCTCCTAGGAAGGCTTAGGGTGGAAAACCATTGGGCAGCTTACTCCAGGACAGGAGGTGAGAGTACCTCTGAAGGTCCCATGCAATTTAAATAATTCCATGATTGTAAATGAGCTATGCTGCCAAATGACCCTGAGGCAGGACAGGTCAATGGGGTGGAAGATCAGTGCTGTTGGCAGCTCCTGGCGAGCACAGAAGGTGCATCCCAAACCCCTCTGTGGCCACCAGGAACAAAGAGCCCAGGAGAAGAGGGGTCCTGTAGGACATGTCACACACAAGTGCTGCTGGCCGCACATCTTGTGGTGCCTGTGAGTTTGGGGCACGAGAAAATGAGTGAATGCAGGAGGGAGTGAAACCGGCTTTATTTTAAATTTATTTTTGTTGAATAAATTGCCTTCCTCTTCCGTGCAGTCTCACGCTGAGCTTTGCTAACTCAGTTGCAGCACTCTGGTGCTGAGCTTCTTTGGTTCATGTCTGTATTTTAAGCAGCCTTGCCTGTCCCGACTCAGCCATGGGCTTGTGCGGTGAGAGCTCAGCCAGGCTGGAGATGTTTCCCTGGGGGGAGTGCCACTGTGGTGGCCAGGCAAACCATCCGCGTTGCGAGGGGCTGTGCTGAGGGCGTGCACGTTGGGTGCAGGGCGCCCGTGGGATGGCTGCGTGGTTGGTGCAGGGCTATGAGCCTGTCCTGGGTGTCTCATCATTGCAGCTTCTTAAAATCAGCCTTCTCTGGGCTGAAGCCTTGTCTTCTGCCCCACCATGCAGGGTTGCTGTGTAGCTTTTACTGCGGGTTGGCCAACCTTCTGGTGATCCTTTGGTGAGAGAGCAACCAGCAAGATGCAGTCATTGCTCCAGCAGTGGAATCTGCCTCTGCATCGCTGCAGGGCGAGCTACAGTGTCTTGTCCTCACTGGTCGTACTGGAGGATGCGGATGAAAATGAGGCATCTCAGAGCAGAGAAGCGAGGCCTTGTTCTGCAGCGAAGATTGTGTTTTAGCAAACCATTAAACTGATAAAGGCAACGGGAGCTGCCAGCGTTGCTCTTCAGTACCCAGGGGTGGGGATCCAGGCATGGATCTGCTGTTCTCGCAGGGTGTTTACACACAAATACGGCTCAGTAAAAATCCTACTTTCTCTAAGCGCTCTGCAGTGAAGCCAGAGGAGTTTTGGCGTTCGTAGTTTATCTCTTTTTCAGTCTGAGAAGCCACTCACACAGTTTGCTCTCCCATGCCGCAGTCGGTGCCGAATCGATACAACGATGACGTTAACTGATCACCTCTGCAGAGGCAGTTTCCAGTTCGGAGCTCAGCGTCCTCCCGGCCCTGCAGAAGCGGCAAGAGGCTATCGTGGCAGTGGGGAACAGGCCTCTGCAAAACGGGGGCAAGAGAAAGGCTTGTCTCTAGAACAAGAGGGAAGGAGAATTGCTAGGGCATAGTGAAGCCAAAGCAAAGGATGGTGCAAGAGCACACAGCAAAGCAGGACAGCAGCGAGTCCCTCTGCATGCCAGCTTTCCTGTCCCTCCCCGCAGGGATCCTGGCACGGGCAGAGCTCTGCTCTGGCTGGGCAGCGTTGGGGGGAGTCAGCAGATCTCCTCGCAGAAAAAAACCTCTGCCTTTCCCGCTCCAGAGACACTGCTGCGTGCTGACAGCAGTGCTGTGAAACCCCCGCCGGGCTTTCTGCTCTGCCCTGCTCTGTGCTGTGCCCTTCAGGAGCTGTTTGCAGTCTCAAATGCAGGTGCCGGGTGGCAGCGGCAGGGAGGCGGAGAGCAGGGAGGTGGCAGTCGAAGGTGGCTGTCCCTGGTGTCAGCTGTGGTGTGCCCAAGTTCTGTAG